TCCTTGACTCTCCCACAAGGAAAAACAACCTATGCGCATCTACACTGTCAAGTCCCCTAAGAATGTTGTATGTTTCAATAAGTTTGCCTCTCATTGTTCTAAATTCCAATGAGTACAGGCCCAACCTAATCAACCTCCCCTGATTACACAGTCCCTTCATACCTGATATCAACCTACCAAACCTTCTCTGGACTGCCTTCAATGCCTGTATATTTTTCCTTAGAAAAGGAGACCAAATCTGATCACAGTATTCTGACTGTAGTCTGTTTATAAGTTAATATATATTGTCAACAATTGTGGCCCCAGCATTGATTCATGTAACTCCACTAGTTACAGATGATATCTCCTGTAACCAGGCTGTCTTTCTCATTTTTGGATGAAAACAGCCAACAATAGGGCACAAAGACTCAAAGCAGAAAAGGGGATGCTTGAAATTCTGTTTCTTATCTCAATGAAATCATTCTGACCCTGACTGTCCTATGTAGCTTACAGACCATGCCCAAGCCTCTGGAATGATATCAGAAGCTGCCCTTAACCTATTGTGCCAGAACGTCCTTGGCAAAAAGCAATCTCCCCTGACTTGAGTGAGAAGAACTGCTGACAACTGTAGTGATTATAATAAAATCAGTCAGGTGGACCCATAGAATATGAGTTCCCTGACTGGGGCTGTTAATCTGGTCCAATCAGGGTGCCCTGACTGACAGATGTAAACAGGGATGTCAAATATCCTGTTCACTCTGAGAGTTGGCTCTGAGGGAGTTGGATCATTGTCAAGGACTTTCCACATGTAAATATAAGGTGACTTGTTGATGGGATACCAGCATCTGTGGAGTTATTTCAACAACCATTACAAACTTCCTGGTTTTCTATTGATTTCAGCCATGACAAACTATCAGCTAAAACTGAAACTGCTGTGCCACTGTCTAACTTAAACCCTGTCTTGGAGCCTTTCACTTCCTGTGTGACTGTCTAGATTTTATGTTTACTTTCCTACACATCACAGTTGTTCCTACACTTGTTGCAGTTTTTCACATGCAAATTCTTGAATTTTTTGCATTCCAAGAATTTCTTCATTCTCTATAGTCTTCTTCTTGGGAGCATTTTGTGCTTGCACAGTAATGATGGGCCCTTAAATCTACAAAACAGTGTCCAATCTTATGACGTAGAAATACTCAGCTCCCACTGTTGGGCATTCATGGCATCTGTGGTATTGGTTTGGTGCACAACATGAACATCCCATATCAGCTGCTATACTGGCTTCCACTTTTTCCCCATTCTTGTGGGTTTGAGAGTTTAAAGCTGCCATGTTTTGGCCTACTCGATTCAGCTGAAGCCTTGGTATTTCTTCAGAAAATGTCCTACTCTGAGCTCTGACCTCAATGGGCATCACATACTGAATCATTTGTTCCAAAGTCAAATCTGCCTTTGACTGAAAATTCAAATAGCTTCTCACCTATAGAAGCTGGTGAAGGTTGCTAAACATTTCAATGGATTCCCTCATCTCTGGGACCTTTGATCAATCACATTTGCTCAATTATAAGGTTTCAATTCGGACTGAAGTATGCACTGAATGCCTTAAAAACAGACTTTGAATCTACAGTGGTCTCTTCCACCCCTATCTCATAAGGATGTTGTCAGCGATAGTTCTGGCTGTATATGGAAACATTCTAACCTGGTGTTTCCCCATCCTGGCATACAAACTTGATGTTGTTCAATATTGTTAGAACTGCTCCTTCCACAGTTCACACGTAAATCTCTCTAAGGGCCTTCTGCATTTTCGAACCTTAGTTGATCAATTCTTATGGCTGCCATGAGGTATAGGGCTCAGGATTCATAAAGGCACTGCTGAGAGACTGCTTTCTTAGAGTACTATCTGCATTCTTGGTGTACTCTCTAGATCTCTGTCTCATGTCACACACACATATACATTCTCATTATCCTACCAGCAGCAGAGCCACGAAAACACATCAAGCTCCCTATGCCCTTGCTCATTGAATCAAGGAGCTAGGGAATAGTGCCAGTTGACCTCAGCAAGGAGAAAGGTGATGCACGAGTTAAATGTGATGCAGAATTGGATATCGGATGGGGTTTGGGAGGTCAATTTAGAAGTTAATGGAAAACATAAAATAAAATCCTGCAGATGCTGGCCATCAGGAACAGAAGCAGTCCTTAAATATTTCCAACATATGCTGTTTTTTTCCTCTTTTATCTTATTGGAAATGTTGGGGTTGAAGTTGACAAATAATTAGATGAGTTTTGACAGCATTGAGGGTGACATACAGCTGGGGGGTAGTAATCGGTAGTGGGAATTATCAGTCTTGGTGACAAATTGAATAGACTTGAAGCTCAGCTCAGAATCAAGTGGGGCACCACATTTTTACACAGCTCAAGCCAGCTTGAGTAGGACCATGATTTGGTCGTGAAGGTAAACTGAAAGGTACAAAAATGTTAATGGAGGAAAATGTGTGACAACAATTCCAACTGCAAGGGTATACATATGAAAAGCATAGAGAGGAAACCAAAGTAGTTGAGAGGAGAATAAAGACAAGAAAAGAGACAACTCTTTATTTTTGTTTAGTAGCAACACCACAGGAGATGAACTTGTATATTTTTAATTCACAGGAATGTATAACATCAGATGCTTTACATAAAATCTGGAGGATATTTTTACCATCTGATTTTTTTTATTTCAAGCTTTGAATATCAAAGTGACATTACTGCCACCTAGGGGAAAATAGTATTATTTTTCACTTCAGAAGTTATACTGGAAAAAGAAACAAATAAATGTTGCATTGTACAAAGCCCTCGATCTCTCTCGGAATGAAACACCGAGGTTTTGTTTGAATCATGGTGGGAAGCTGATGGGAATGACCACCAGACTAATGCAGGATTGGGATTTCAAGGCTCAACCTATGTTAACTGTCAAGCATCCCACTTAAATGCCACAGTCTGCTTCTGGTTGGAAATGGCTGCTGAGTGTCAGCAAAGGCCAAAAATTGGGTATCCCAAAAGCCAGAAAGAGTCTGCCAGCAGAAAGATAAATCATGGGAAGGCAGGGGTGTCTGCTTCAGGTATGGTCTGGGTGAGAATGACAGGAATAGCAGATTTCCCTGTGAAATCTTTCAATACCTGGAACAGGACTGCTATTTTTCCCAGACACTGTGAGGACACTCTTTAGAAACTTACCTTAGTGGGCCTGGCTGCTTTCCTGATACATGGTGGGCAGCTCAGGAACGGGTTAAAATGGCATTAGCATTCCTGCACATAATGGGATCCTCTCCTTTATTTATAAATGTGTTTTCAATCAGATCTCAGCAGGAGCTTATTGACAAGAATAGACTGGGTAATGGGACCATTCCATTTTTACTGCTCCCACACTCCTCTCCTGTCAATAGGGGAATTGAATTTCTCCCTTAATTCTACCAGAGAATTGATGAGGGCAGAGCGGTGCATGTGCTCTATATAGACTTCAGTAAGGTATTCAACAAGATTCCTCATGGTAGACTGGTCAGTAAGGTTAGATCACATTGAATACAGGAAGAACTAGCTATTTGGATACAAAACAGTCTCAAAGGTAGAAGGCAGAGGCTGGTGGTGGAGGGTTGCTTTTCAGACTGGAGGCCTGCGACCAGCAGTATGCCACAAGGATCGATGCTGGGTCCACTGCTTTTCATCATTTGTATAAATGATTTGGATGTGAACATAAGAGGTATGGTTAGTAAATTTGCAGATGACACCATAATTGGAAGTGTAGTGGTCAATGAAGAAGTTCACTTCAGAGTACAACAGGATCTTGATCAGTTGGGCCAGGGGCGAGGAGTGGCAAGGGGCGTTTAATTTAGATGAATGTGAGGTGCTGCATTTTGGAAAGGCAAATCAGGTCAGGACTTATGCACTTAATGTTAAGGTCCTGGAGAGTGTTGCTGAACAAAGAGACCTTGAGGTGCAGGTTCCTTGAAACTGGAGTCGCAGGTAGACAGGAAAGTGAAAAAGGCATTTGTTATGCTTGCCTTTATTGGTCTGTGCATTGAGTTTAGGAGTTGGGAGATCATATTGCAGCTGCACAGGACATTTATTGGGCCACTTTTGGAATACTGCATGCATTTCTGGTGTCCCTGCTATCGGATGAATGTTGTGAAACTTGAAAGGATTCAGGTAAAGATTTACAAGGATGTTGCCAGGGTGAGAGGATTTGAGCTACAGGGAGAGGCTGAATAGACTGGGGCTATTTTCCCTTGAGCATCGGAGATAAGGGGTGACCTGAAGGAGGTTTATAAAATCATGAGGGGCTTGGATAGGCTGAATAGATAAGTTATTTTCCCCAGGGTTTGGGAGTCCAAAAATAGAGGACATAAGTTTAAGATGAAAGGGGAAAGATTTAAAGGGACCTAAGGGGCAATTTTTTCATGCAGAGGGTGGTGCATGTATGAAATGAGCTGCCAGAGGAAGTGGTGGAGGCTGATACTATTACAACATTTAAAAAGCATCTGGATGGGTATATGAATATGAAGGGTATAGAGGGATATGGGCAAAATGATGGCAAATGGGACTAGATTACTTTAAGTTATCTGGTCAGCATGGATGTGTTGGACCGAAGGGTCTGTTTCCATGCCGTACAGTTCTATGACTTTAACTCTTTACACCTTCTCTCCCTGTTTTCCAATCAAATAACTTCTGGGTCAATTGAACTTTTCAAGACAGTAAGTTTTCAAGGAATTTGGATCAAATGCAAGTAAATGGATTTGAATGGACATAGAGAATGGCAAAGAAAGACTCAAAGGCCTGAATGGTCTTTTCATATCCTGTGTTCCCGAGAAAAAAGATAAAAGGAATCTTGAATTGTAAATAATTTGCAATCATACATTTTCTGATTGAATTATAATTATTTTTCAGTACTTGACCACTTTACAATAGAAATCTTTATCAATAATATACATAACTTGGGTTAAAGCCAAAAAAAATTGACCGTTCTGACACTATTGCTTTTCTTCATCCTACAGGTTCTATCCTTGGGAGCTGATGTTTTACCTGAGTACAAGCTTCAGACTCCTCGCATCCACAAGCTCACCATCCTACACTATAGTCCTTTCAAGGCTGTGTGGGACTGGCTAATTCTTCTACTAGTAATTTATACAGCAATCTTCACTCCCTATTCTGCAGCCTTTTTACTTAATGACATGGAGGAACAAAAGAGAAGAGAGTGTGGATACTCCTGCAGCCCATTGAATGTTGTAGATTTAATAGTGGATATTATGTTCATTATTGATATTCTAATAAACTTCAGAACAACATATGTAAATCAAAATGAAGAAGTGGTTAGTCATCCAGCAAAAATTGCAATTCACTACTTCAAAGGCTGGTTCCTCATTGACATGGTTGCTGCTATACCTTTTGACCTGCTGATTTTTGGATCTGGGTCGGATGAAGTAAGTGTTAACAATAATTAGCTTCATATTTATGGAAAATAAAATTCTAAAAGCATCAAAATGTTTATAATTTCAGGGTGAAGAGTAAGAAATGTCTGAGACTGACTTAAGTTTTCCACTCTGTAAAATGTCTAAATTTACTACTCACTGTGAACAGAAGGAAATGTGTGATTTTGCTTGCTAGCGTTATAAGCAAAATTTGTGAAATCAGAAACCTGGTTATATTATATTTTACATTCTAATAGATGGGTCGATATGCATTATTCAAACTAACTTTTAACTTAATCAGGTAGACTCACTTCATATAGCTATATGTTCAATTAAAATTGATTTTTTTTCTAGACTGGCATATAGAAGTAACAAATTTACCACTTGGCATTTAATTCAAAAGCAAAATGGTGCTAGCTGTGGATGATTTATATAAAGAATTTAGATGTAAATGGGATTAAATCTGTTGTTAAATGTCTGAAATCATATGACCCCTGCAGCTTGGTTTAATGTGTAAGCAACTACAATCCTAAGGATGGAGCAGTAAACAGCACTAGAGTTTCTGAGGGCAGGTCTCCAGAATTAACTTTAACAAGCTAAAAAAAAGCCTTAAAGTCAAAGTTACAGTCCAACATAAAATTCAAGGGAAACTGAAATTCCTCTTTATCTCCACAAACATGGAGAAATTTCCCAAATACAAATAACACCCAAACTAGTTGGAACATTGGGCACTTTCCCAGCATTAGATATGTGGTCAGCATTAGACTGCAGTAAATGAATAAGTGCTCTCTCCACCAATCTATTAATGTTTACTACTATCATCTAGTTGATGGTAGGATAGTCTAGGAATCCGGGTTAAGAAACTGAATGCCCTATTTCTGTTCCAATGGTCCTGGATGCTTTGGAATTTTCCAACTGTGGTTATAGCTACATTCATGCAGGTGAACAATGACTATTTCACCATCCTGTTGAACCGAGTCACTCATTGGAATCTTTGTCCTTCTCTTATTGCCATTATATTGATATGGCTCATCTAGTCAACTTCGGTAAATGGTGATCCCAACAGATTGATGTGAGGAACTTCATTATGGCAGTGACTGTGAAAGTTACCTGCCACTTGTCAGCCCAAATATCATTATTAACCTGCTGTAGGCTGCCGTGGGATGCTCCCTTGAATGTGTAATAATATGTACTAAAATTATGAGGAATTATCATTGGTGAAATAGCTGAACGTTGTTGGACTAAGTATCTTTCACCTAAAAACTCCTGATCCAATGTCCTAAGTGATGATTTGTCTTCAACATGCATAATCAATTTTCTTTGTATCAAGTATGATTTCAACCACTTAAGGTATTTCCTTTTGATGCACATAGATTTCAATTTTGGTACAGTTTCTTGCTGTCATACAAGTTAAATGCTGCCTTGATATCAAGACAAGTCACTGTCATTGCTCCTCTGGCATTCATCTATTCTTCCATTCCCTGTATAAAGGCTGTAATAAATTGTTCTGCCAGCTTCAATGTTTCAGTTGAGCAGATTTTTGTTGAGTAAATATTGATTGATGGCAGTATTGATGTTTGCTTCTACTGTATTGTTGATAAATGCAAGAAGGCTAATAGGTCAATAATTGGTAGATTGATGGAGTTACGTTGATCTTGCATTTTGGATTGGACATCTTCTGTTATTATAGTTGTATTGGAGCAAATTGGCTCTGATAAGGGGTTTAGAGGTTATGGCAGTTAATGTCTAGTTTTGTTGCTTCGTAGTCCCATTGCCTTTGTTGTCTACCGTTTACTCAACCAGTTTTAATGTCATTGGGAATGGACAAAATTAGCCCAATTAAAATTAGATTTTATTGTCATGTCTATTCAAGTATAGGAATACAAGAGTACAGTGAAAAGTGGACAAAGTTACCATTCTCTAGCACCATCTTGGTTACAACACCAGAATTTAAAAAAAAAACAGAAGAAATAAAAGAAACAGAGACAAAAGAAGATTTAAAAAATCCAGATCTTAAAGAAAGAAAAACATCCAGCTCTTCTTAAAGTGCCATCTCAATCCCCAAGTGATTGCTTGTTGACAGAAACTTTTCCATCAAGATCTATCCAGCAATGCTTTTTCTCCCGATACAGTGGGAACAAATTTCAGTCTCAGTAATGGGCTTTCAGCATATCTTCGTATTTCAGTTTGGGACATCCTATGGTGCAGGGATATAGAATATCACTTTACAGGATTCCTCCATGCTAATCATATTTCTGACTGAGGAATGCTGATGTGCCTCATCAGCTATCTTCCCTGTTACCAATGCAACTAACAAAGGCTACATAATGCTTCACTTTCAATTGCCATCTACGTTTTTAGCCATGCATTCGTTTAAAACAAGAAATCGTTGAACAGTACAGCACAGGAACAGGCCCTTCAGCCCACCATGTCTGCTCAGACTATTAAACTAATCCCATCTGTTGCACATGGTCCATGTCTCTCTGTTGTCTGCCTATTCATATGTCTGTCTAAATGCCTCTTAAATGTTGCTATTGTATCTGCTTGTGCCACCTCCACTGGCAGTGTGTTCCAGGCACCTACTGCCCTCTGTGTAAAAAACTTGTGATACACATCTTTTTACCTTAAACTTGTGCCACGTAGTAAATGACATTTCCACCTTGGAAAAAGAACTCCAGATATCCACTCTACCCATGACTCTCATACTTAATATACTTCGTTCAGGTCACCTCTCAGCCTCTGATGGTCCAGCGAAAATAATTCAAGTTTGTCCAACCTCTCCTTATAATTAATACACTCCAATTCAGGCAACATCCTGGTAAACTTCTTCTGTAATCTCTCCAAAGCCTCCACATTCTTCCTATAGTGTACCAACCAGAATGTACACAATACTCCAAATGTGGCTTAATTAAAATTTTATACAGCTGCAACATGACTTGTGGACTTTTATACTCAAGGTCCTGACTGATGAAGGTAAGCATGCCATACACTGCCTTTAGCCCTTTATCCACTTGTTTTGCCACTTTCAGGGAGTTACGGAGTCGCATCTGTGATCTCTCTTTATATCAATGCTCCTAACAATCCTGCTATTTACTGTATACTATCCTCTTGCACTTAATCTCCCAAAATGTATCATCTCACACTTGTCCGGATTAAATGCCATTTCTCCACCCATCTTTCCAACTGATCTATATCCCGCTCCATCCTTTGACAACCTTCCTCACTGTCCACAATTCCACCTTGTTGTCTTGCAAACTTAGTAATCTGACCACCTCCATTTTCATCAAAATCATTAAACATATTACAAACAACAGAAGTCCTAGCACTGATCCTTATGGAATATCACTAATCACAGACCTCCAGTCAGAAAAACACCCCTCCACAACTAGCCTCTGTCTTCTTTGACCCAAGCCAATTTTATATGCCTATGACTTAGACTCATAGAGTAATAGTCATACAGCATGGAAACAGACCCCTCAGTCCAACTCGTCCATGCTGACCAGATATCCCAAATTTAACCAGTCCCATTTGCCTGCATTTGGTCCATAATCCTCTGAACATTTCCTATTCATGTACCTGTCCAAATGTCTTTTAAATGTTGTATTTGTACCTGACGGTACCACTTCCTCTGGCAGTTCATTCCATTCATACACCACTCTCTGTGTGAAAAAGTTTCCCCTCAGATACCCTCGCAAATGCAAGATACCCAGCTCTCTCCCATCACTAAACCATTTTACGGTTCTCCAGTTGTAACTGTCATTGTTGTTTCCTTGAAAAATAACATTCATTGCATTCATGTTGAACTGCTGTAATATTGCTGCGATAGATATAAGCAGTTGAAGAGATATGCAGATTGCAAATTTTACAACAATTATGACATAAATGAGAACAAGCTGGTGTTTAGACAATTGGAATGCACTTTGCAATATGCACTAAAGATCCTTCAAACTCAAAAAACCCTGAGTCTTTGTTTTTCCCATTTCCCCAAATTTTCAGTGTTTTACTTAAAAATACAATTGATTGCACAGAAGTTCTTCATTTGTCTTCCAAAGATATTCGGTACCAACAGTCTTTATGTTCATCCCTAATGCTGCTCTTCTACTAATTGGGAGAAGTGACTGAATGCACCATTCAACTAAGCTGTGAAAGTCTCTAGAAAAGGCCAGATAAGGAATGTTCTTTTATGGTGATCAGTACCAGGGAAAACTGGTTGGAAGTGTTTACAAGTATAAATGTGGGCTCATCCGTATGCTGAACCTGTGAGCAAATGAGGAACAATATCCAGTATCAGGAAGCATTTAGCTTCAATACATTAATCTTCTGTACCAGCCTACCATGAGGTACTTTGTCAAATGCTTTAGGGACGTCCAGACAAACAACATTCTCTGCCCTATCCTCATCAACCATCTTTGTCACTTCCTCAAAAACTCAATCAAATTTGTGAGACAAGACCTCCCTCGCACAAAGCCATTCTGACTTTGTATTAAGTCCATTCTTTTCTAAATATGAGGAAATCCTGTCCCTAAAATTCTACACCCATAATTTCCCTTCCACTGATGCACATTCAAAGATCTTCAAATAGAACTGCATCTTCAGTTCGGGATGGACAGCATCGTCTTCAATCTGCAATGTTTGTAAATGCTAAAAATAGAAAGAGTCTTAAAATAGACTTTTTGAATAGAGTTTTCCACGTGATGGTGGAATTACGCACCTATCTTCCAATATTCTAGTTCATGTCACAGGAGATTACTCCTGTACTGTACCATAAAGTGAGGCCTTGTGGTGCAGTGGTGCTGACTCTGAACTAGAAGCTCCATGTACAAGTCCAATTTTATGACTTGTTGACCAAGGAAAATGCATTCATAACTTAGCCAGACAAGTTAATGACCATCTTGTATATCCTTCCAAAATATACCAATGGGAGGTGCAAGAGCAGGAAAGAGTAACATGTAACATTGCATATTGCCTTGGCAACTCAGACTCTTGGGGGGTGCTAGTTAAATCATTTGATT